AGTATAACTCTGAGTCCAGATGAGTATAACTCTGAGTCCAGATGAGTGTAACTCTGAGTACAGATGAGCATAACTCTGAGTACAGATGAGCATAACTCTGAGTACAGATGAGTATAACTCTGAGTATAGATGAGTATAACTCTGTGTATAGATGAGTATAACTCTGAGTACAGATGAGTATAACTCTGAGTACAGATGAGTATAACTCTGAGTGTAGATGAGTATAACTCTGAGTCCAGATGAGTATAACTCTGAGTGTAGATGAGTATAATTGTGTATAGTAGAACATAACTATGAGACTAAAAGACTGTAACTCTGAGAATGTATCAGCTGCAACTGATTCAGAACTCAGATGCACAAATGTTGATTATTAATCATTAGTCTCTGGTCTCTCCTCATTAAATACATTTTTTCTTCAGGTTCTTCAGTCCTACATGTTCGTGCTATCAGTTTTTGTTCTTATAGAATGTTTTGCTGTTTTAATTTAGATCGGGCTGTTTTTAATTTTGATTGTTTGTTGTTTTGTCTTTCTGTTAATTTTATCTGAATGGAATATGATTTATAAATAATGTTGCACTGGTTGAAGAGTGACAGCAAAGTTAAAACAAAGGTTGTAAAGCTGTTAACTCCTGAACAGCTTGTTACAGAGAAATTATTCTTTGTCCTGACCTGTGATTCTTTCTGGACTCGATCCTCCTTCATTTTGGTTTTGAGCTCAGTCTGGTGCTGTTTCCGGGCCAGCTCCTGCCAGAACCGAGAGTCTAGGAGAGGTCTCCTGGTGGGCGAAATTCCAGTCTCGTGTCCCTCTGCAGTAAAAACAAAACATAACAACAACTTATGGAAGCTTTTTATCTAATGCAATTGTGCAAAGAAGGCATCCGATTTTTAAAACTATCATCATTCAACACTTGCTTTTAGCTAATGACCAGATGTCTGTCAGACACAAACAAGTCTTGTTTTCTAAAATACTTGCATTATTTCTCTTCTTTAATCACAAGTTACTTTAATAAGCAGTCTCTTTTTTTTTTTACGAGGCCCTTGTCTTAATCCTGGAATTAGAGGATAATGTTTTTCATATCCTCGGGGCATCCTGTGCCTCTCATACCTCATGTGACTAATGCTATGCTAAACTGTCAGGTATTACGATGTCTGTAATTACTATGGCGACAGCGAGGACCGGCGCAGCGCTGCATCCAGCCCACTGAGGTTTCTGAGACTGAGCTTACAGCGCAGATTGCACAAATCTCTTCTAAACAGAGTGGGGATAAAACATAAACATGGACCTAACGAGGTAATTCAGAGCAGACACGGAGACTTGTGGCAGACGAAGGCCTGAATCTGATGATTGTGAAGGTAATCCTGCGTTTATTAGGAGTCGTGACACGTTTCATCAGAAAACAAGAAGACGGGAGCCGAGGATTAGTCAGCGGAGTTCAGACTTGCAAGGAGTCACATCTGATGGAGGATTTTCGTGCTGACTAAGGAGTTTTTTTGGCTATCTCACCTCCTGCCAGAGGCTGTGTAGGTGTGTGTGAGTGTGTAAGTGCAATTAGAGCTGAAACAGAACTCTCAGGTTGTAAATTATGCCTGAGAGGGAAAGGCCTCACAATCTTCAGGGCTCCACTCACACACGATGTGCTTCTGTGTATACCATATGCAGGTATGCACACACACCCCCACACTCCCGCACACTGAAGGGTGGGAAACCTGAGGATGTGTGTGGGTTTATTTAATGTGTAAACTTTTTATGTATTGCTTTCAGTTTTATGTTAACTTCATTTCTAAATATATCAAATTGCATTCGCTACAGTGAGTTAGCTGAGAGCATGAGTGTTAAGATACATGTTAAAGGTTTTCAAAGGATAGAGTGTGTGCAGGCACCATGGCCGGTCTGCATGTAGTAGACAGCAGAGATCACAACTTAGAAAAGCAGGGAGAAACCTGAAATTCAAATTCAACGACTACTCAGAGCACAAAATTCAAAATTAAACGAGTAAAACTTTCCTTCGATGAAAGCAGCATTCTTTGAAAGAATGCACAACATCCGTCAATTTGCATGTCAAGGATTTGCTTGTGACCCACCTTGGGGTCATTGTGACCCAAGGGCAGCAGAAAGGTGACCAAGATCTCAAGCGACCTGGCCAGATTGCACATCTTTATACATTTGGATTGTTCATGTAAATATAAATAAATAAATAAATAAAAATCACACAGAAACCACACCATCCAATGACTCCTGAATATATCTGGGTATCTAAGGTATAAAATATCAAATGTTGGCGCAGTGGCTCAGTTGGTAGAGCTGCCGCCTCTCAGTGAGCAGGTCACTCTGGTTCAAATCCTGGGGCGTGGTCTTTCTGGGTGGAGTTTGCATGTTCTCTCCGTGCATGCATGAGTTTTCTCTGGGTACTCCGGTTTCCTCCCACAGACCAAAAACATGCATGTTAGGTTGACTGGTGACTCTAAATTGTCCCTAGGTGTGAGTGAGAGTGTGAATGATTGTTTGTCTCGTTTGTCTTCATGTGTCCCTGTGATGGACTGGAGACTTGTCCAGGGTGCACCCCGCCTCTCGCACAGTGATGACTGGACATGGGGACCAGTGACCCCCTTGACCCAAAGAGGAAGAAGCAGGTAAAATATAATGGATGGCTGGAATGATGGGTGTAAAATATTTCTTAAGAATAAACAAGAATGTCCATCTGAGCTGAATGTAGAGACCGCAGAGGTTCACTCGTAGGTGAACCTGCATAAGGATTTTCATTCATCCAACCTTTATACAAGTTAATCTCATTGAGTCGCGAGGACTCATTTACAAGAAAGACCCATTTTAAACAAAGAACATAGATGCAGTACAGACAACAATAAACATTCATATAAAAAGCATATAAAATGAAAAGTAAAGAAAATAACTTATATAAAACGAAACAAAAACAGCTACATTATAAAGCGATGTAAAATACTAAAAACAGGAACGCGTCTGCGTTGGTTTTTGTCATGAACGTAACAGATGTTTAAAGCCTCTTAGAGATGTCAAGGTCGAGAGCTTCAGATCTTTTTGCAAGATATTCCAGGAAGCAGAAGTGGAGTAGGAGAAGGTCCTTTTGCCAAGTTCGGTCCACAATGTTGGGACACTGCAGGTAATGATGTCTCAAAAGTGCACGCTGTAGCAGCACTGACAAAGTGACATGTAGGAGATATACAGTATGAAGGCAACAGACCAAGAAATGATTTCAAAATAAAGATGTACCAGTGAGAGTGTCTACGCGAAGTTAATGATGACCATGTAACCAGTGAATACAGGGTGCAGTGATGGGTATGATAGTTAAGGCCAGTTATAAATCTTAGCACACCGTGATAGGCAGCAACCAACATCTGCAAGGTGCTTGCAGGACCATTCATTTAAATAATGTCACCATAGTCAGTGGAGGGAAGGAAAGAATCAGTTACAAGGTGTTTCCTATCGTTCAGAGTTAGACAGGATTCATTTGTGAAAATGAAACCCAGTTTTAATTTAATTTCTTTACAGTATTTGACATGAGGCGTAAAAGCGACCAAGACACCCAAGTATTTGTAAGAATCGACAAACTCAATAGGGACGAAGATAAAATAGAAGGAAAGACTGCTGGGACCAACTTCCTGTTTGAAAACAACACCCTATGGTTTTATCAGCATTTAGCACCAGTTTGAGATAGAACAAATCTGACTGGATGATGTCAAATACAGACTGTAAGAGCTGGAAAACCTTAGCAACTGATATAGCTCAACAATAAACTACTGTGTCATTGGCATAGTAAGGATGCATCAGGATGCATGGCAAGAATGAATCAAGAATGATTTGACCTACGTTACTTGTGTAGATTGTGAAGAGGGTGGGTCCTAAGACTGAGCCTTGCAGTACACCATTGTTGACAGTTAGATAGCTAGATGAAGTACCATTATGTTTAATACTTTGTCTCTGATCTGAGAGATAATTAGAGAACCAACCAATAGTGTGATCTGAGAAAATGTCTGAGAGCTTGAGGATGCATGATTTATCTGTTATCCATCCCTTTAAAACAATTTGATCTATAACTTGTAGGGTCTCAGCTGAGGGTTGACATGTCTGACATGTTGTCATTGCTTAGTCACTGCAGAGTTTAATGTTATGCATTTCCAAACAAATACAATTAGGAGTATTAGTTAGCTGTTAGCTTATCCGATCTGTTTTTTTTTTTCTCGATTCTCCAAACTGAGATTGCTCTGACACCTGTTTGTTGGAGGAAGATACTGACCTTTACTATACAAATAAAAATTATATTTTTTGTTTGACCTGCAAAAGGTGAGGAAGTAATATGTTCTCAGTTTGGATGCATTTTGGTGTGCAGGCTAAGCTGTTATGAAGTGTTGACAAAGAACTCGGTGGTGTCGCATGAAAGCTCTTCACTTGAATAAATGTAATAAAAAACATTGCTAAAGTTTGTTGTTTTAGTCATCTCAAATGATGAAACTCTCCTTTTTTCTGCAGTTTGACAGCTGTTTTAGTTTGTACCTCTGAAGCCAAAATGTAAATCTGACTTCACACCCAAGTTGGAAAACTTTATATCATTTTATGGATTGAAGCACTGTATCAACATGTCTCTGATGGAGTTCGTGCAGTTCTTTGTGACTGATTTATTGAGAAACAAACTGACAGACTTGAGAATTGATGATTACTGCAGCCGTTATCATTTTTTATACACGAGGCAGCAAAGCTGGTATTCATCATTGGGGCTTTGCTGTTTAACTTATCTTTTAACTTGGAAATGTGTGACTTTTGAGTACAAATGGAACCCACCTATCGGTAACATACAGTACTAAGTATTTTGACATAGTGTCTCAGTGTAAGCTAAATATCATTTCAATGGTTTAAGGCTGTCAGTTATTTGACATGATTAACAGATCATAACAGCACATGGCTCTAAATTGCATTTATGCTTTATTCTGTCATAAGTTTGTTGCAGGACCCAAAGTGCAGACGATGAAGTGGAATGGCAACAAGTAAGTTTGTGATTTTGGATTGAAGGCAAAGCTGACAAGGCAGACAACAAGCTTACAAACAGAAACTATGGGAGCACAGGAAACTTATCTTATCGCATATTATCTCATCTTATCTCATCTCATCTCATCTTATCATATTTCATATTATCTCATATTATCTCATCTTATCTTATCTAATCTTATCTTATCTCATCTTATCTTATCTAATCTTATCTAATCTTATCTTATCTCATCTTATCATATCCCATCTTATCTTATCTCATCTCATCTCATCATATCTCATCTTATATCATCTTATTTAATCTTATCTCATATCATCTTATCTTATCTCATCTTATCTTACCTCATTGTATCTTATCTCATCTTATCTTATCTCATCTTATCATATCTCACCTGATCTTATCTTATCTCATATTATCTCATATTATCTTATATCATCTCATCATATCTCATCTTATATCATCTTATCTCATCTTATCTCATGTCATTTATCTCATCTCATCTTATCTCATCTTATCATATCTCATCTGATCTTATCTCATATTATCTTATCTCATCTTATCATATACCATCTTATCTTATCTCATCTTATCTCATCTTATCATATATCAACTTATCTCATATCATCTTATCTCATATAATCTTATCTTATCTCTTTATATAATCTAATCTTATCACTTCTTATCTCATCTTATCTTATTACATCTTATCTCATCTTATCTTATCACATCTTATCTAATTTAATCTCATCTTATCTTATCTTATCTTATCTTATCTTATCTTTTGAGAA